GAAGGACCAAGATGTGAAATTGTCACACCTCATAGAGGATGAAAGATTAAATTTCAGCATTTTAGACTATTTGATTGGGCTAACTACACAGAAAAAGTAAAATGAATGAATAATTACCATTATGCAGATTGACATTCAGTTGGGTGGTCACACTACCAAGTTAGCTCATTTAATACTTACTTATCCTCTGAAACAAACATTGCAGAAGTGATAATGAGTTGGACCCAGAGGTGAATAGAAGAAGATAGTAGGTTATGCTGCATTTGACAAATTGTGCAGTAATTTCAACAGTCCCAAACTACCTGGACCTCAAATAGGGGCTCTAACAGAGGTAATTTCAGTCACTTTTGCTGATTTGCAGGAGCAACAATGTTAAGGAAAATTTCTAATTTATTATTCTACTTAAGCCTGGAAGTGTACCTGGACTATGGGAAAAAAAATAAGCATTTAACCTTCTAAAGTAACCTCTCAAAAGATGTTGCATTTGGAAGAAGATGGAAGAACTGTACCTCATTTCTCTATGTTGTTTTGGCGTTTTGTGTGTGTGTGTGTGTGTTTATGTTTCCTGATTTTTATGTCTGTGTTCTTATAATACCTTCTATAATCATTCCTCAAAGAAATATCCTGTAATTACCATGGAGTAAGGGACAAGTCTTTAAACTATGTTGTTTAAAGTCAATGAGGGTTAATATCTACAACAGTAAGTACTGATGAGCATATTCATTAATTAAAATTCCACTTGAAGTTTGATCTTAAAGGATACCTATTTGTTAGCTAAAATATACCCTATGGTTTGATTTTAAATGTCAGTAATATGAAGATATTTACTAAAGCTTTTTGCATGAAATGCAAAAATGTAAAATTTAAATGCTAGTTGTAGAAATTAAAATTGTATTATCACTTACTCTAGAGCCTGCTAATATTTTTAATGAAGCTGAGAAAGCATAGTTCAAAGAAACAAACAATTAGAACAGACAACCAGGGTTGTTTCATGAGGAGAAGAGAGATTCTTTGTAGATGATGAGGCTTTTCACCTCCTCCGGGTTTGCAGAAAAAATTGTGTTGATTGCATCAATCTCTGGAACATTTCAGGACCTCTTTAAATGAGTTTCACGATTGCTCAAAACAGATCAACCCAACAATCTATACAGAAATAAAAATGGATGAATAATGACTATTACCCAGACTGGGAGATGCAGTTGGATGGCCAGTCCTTTGAGTTAGTATGTTAGTGCTAACTCGGCACCTAGACCAAATGAATGATTAATTGGGTCCAGAGTTGATTAGCATGAAGTGAGCAAACTGTGTTACATTGGAGAAATTAGGCAGTGTTTTCATTAATCCCAAACTTCTCCCATCTTATCATGGGGTCTGGCACTTAGTAAGTACTTAATAAATGTTTGTTGACTGCCTTAACACAAATGTTCTTCCAGTGATGCCATACTATTGCAAATGTTAGAATACTACAATATCTGAAAAAAATTTAAAGGGCAGGTAACTCAACAGGTGATGAAGAGCTACATGATGGAAAGAGGTAGCTCCTCCCTCCTCTTGGCAGAGAATTAGTGAGGGGAGTGAGGGGAATAGGAGGGCAATGAGGAATACATTCTCAGACTTGGCCAATGGGTTGATGTCTTAGATTGTTTTGATTTTTATTTGTTACAAGGAAGTATTCTATAGGGGATTCTATAGTCATTGGGAAGTGATAGTCTTAAAAAAAGGCATCAATAAAACATTTTAATAGGAAAAAATAGGCTGTAGCACATTTTAAATGATGACTTATCTACAGGAAATGAATTAAAGGATATTAGCATGGTACAGTAGAAAGAGTGTATGGATTTGAATTCTGCCTTTGCCACTTACTACCCATATGACCTTGGGCAAGTCATTTAACCTTGCTTGGGCCTCAGCTTTCTCATCTGTCAAAGAACATGATTGGACAACATGACCTCAGAGATCCCTTCCAGTTTTATGGCTCCATGATCCCATATAAAGGAAATATATGATAGAAAGGGGAGAGGGAAGAGTCATGTGTTGAGAGAGAAGAATAATAGGTGAACACTTTATAGGCTGTAATGGTACCCATGAAATACAAAAATGAGAGGAAGTGTTCCAGGACATTGGGTATATTTTCTGTGGAGGCTTTGTGGGAAAACATAGGCATGAGATAAAAAGACATGGATAAACTCTAATTTGCACCAATGAAAGGAATCCTTACATCACCATATTCATAAATCCAGTGAAGTATTAGCAGGCAGAACCTTAATGAATGCCTTCATTAATTATTCTTTAGTCAGACATTAGCCTAAGTCTAGTTTTTAGTATTTTCGGCAGATAGATGGCATAGTGGACCAGACTTGGAGTCAGAAAGCCCTGAATTCAAATCCAGTTTCAGGTACTTACTAGTTGTGTGACTCCGGGCAAGTTATTTCACCCACTTTGTGTCAGTTTTCTCATCTGTAAAATAAGCTGGAGAAGGAAATGGCAAAGCACTCAAGTATCTTTGCCAAGAAAACCCCAAATGGGGTCATGAAGAATCGGACATGACCAAACAAGAAAAAGGTTTTAGGGTTTATCCCAGCTATACAATATGAACAGAACATGGATGGAGGGTTTGGGCCACTTTAAACAGGCACATCCTTGTCAACCAATTGGACAGACTTCACAGAAATCAGATGCCAAGACAGCCCCAAATGTCAAGTCACCTGGGTGACAATCTAGTTTGGTACTGTTTTTTTGTTTTGTTTTGTTTTGTTTAAGTAGGAGTTTTTTGTTGTTTGGTCATGTATAGACTTGGCCCTTATTATTCACAGTTGTGAACCTGGCACCTTTTAGAAGCAGTAAAAAAGCTTTTTTAAAAAGTATAACAAGCCATCAGGAAATCCTGAGTTCTCAAACAAAGGCATAAAAAATAAGAAAAGACACACCACCATTTTCTGGATTTGCCAGGATATGAGTAGTTGCCTTGGGAATAAGATAAGAAGAAAGACACCACAATTGCAGGGCAATAGACTACAGGGCCCCATGAAAAACAAAACAAAAAATCGTAAGAAAGAAGGGACTTACGAGCTTTCATTCTGGAGAACTGAAAAAAAAATAATAAACCAAAAACTCCCTTTCAAACTTGGGCTGAAAATGGAGACAGAGCAGGAAAACGAATAAGAACACTAGAAGTAAGTTAAAGCTTTCAGGAAAAACATGAGGACAGAAGAAAAAAAAAACCAACATCCAAACCCCCAAGATGATTTAATGCCAGCTAAAGGAACTAAGGAAATGGGGAGTGTTTTTATAAACATGCGTTTTTTTTTTTTTCAAGGAAAAAAAGAAAGTAGATCCATTAATAAATGAGGAGGGAAGCAGAAAGCTAAGATAACTCTAAAATGCCTGAGCATTTTAGTGGCTTTTAAAAATTGATCATTAACAAGAAAAATAAAGATAAGGGGTGTGGACAATTGGGAAATAATGAAGATTTTGTTGATGTGGCTGTTGTAGTTATAAAGAGCAGGAGGCCTAAATACCATGCATCCCAAGGTATTTAAAGGAATTAGCTAATGAATTTGCAGGACTATAGACAATTATTTTTGGAAAAGCTATCGAGAATAAATAAGGTGCTAAAGAGCTGGTCATTTTTACATCTTGTACCTGTAGAGATAACTTTGAAGATGTTTAAAACCTTTTCCAAGTAGAGAAGATGTCATAGTTTCCATTCGAGTGAAAGAAAACTGAGTCATTGGAGACTGGAAGAGACCTCAGAATTGTTGAAAGATCAAATACCAAGGCAGTGGCAAATGAAGGCTCACTTTCTGTATTCTTCTATTACATCTTCCAATGTAAGTAAGGAAACAAAATATGTTTCTTCATGAAAGTAAGGAAACTATAGTTTTAATCTTTCCAAAAAGCAGAGAATACTTTTTTTGCCCCCAGAAGCTTCATTTTAATCCTTAGGGGGAAAATACAAAAAAGGAAAAAGAAAGGTGGTGTAAACTTTTTGCAGGCTTGCAGAAAGGATACATATTTCCTGTCAGCTGCTTTACCCCTCTGGCTGAGAGGGCCTCTGGCAGTCATTTCAGAAGAGGCAGACATGCCATCTATAATGTAATCTCTACTATGTACCTTTCTTTCATCCTTCTTCTTGTTTCCAGTGCCCTGTAGCCTGTAGCAGAATTAAACATTTTGAATTCCACATATCTTACAACTCCACCAACCCCTTGCTAAATATCAGAAAGAATCCCTCTATCTTCTGTTAACGACAAAATGAATAAACAGATCTTCAATTCTGTTGCAATATCGAGACTACTTGGGCAATATTATGCCCATGAAAAGAATAGGCTGAAGTTTTTTACAATTTCCCCATGCAGACTGGAGCCACATGAGTATTTAACCCCCAACAAGATATGAACTGGCTTCTAGAAAGTGTTTACCTCCTGGAGTTGAATGGTTATTATGTGTAAATGCAGTGTTTTAAGGAAGATTGGGCTTTGAAGAAATGGTGTAATAGCATTATACAGAGAAAAGGCTTTGTAATTGGAGGACTTGGGCTCAAATCTTGACTCCGTCTATGGGACCTTGGAAAATCTCTCTCTCTCTCTCTCTCTCTCTCTCTCTCTCTCTCTCTCTCTCTCTCTCTCTGTGTGTGTGTGTGTGTGTCTTTCTCTCTCTGTCTCTTTCTCTCTTCTCTGTCTCTTTCTCTCTGTCTCTCTCTGTCTCTGTCTCTCTGTCTCTCTGTCTCTCTCTCTCCTTCAGTCTGATCATCTATAAAATGAGAGGGTTGAACTAAATAACCTCTAATGAATGTCCTTTTTGGTTCTTGATCCACTATCTTAGCATCCTATGACCCCTGATTAATGTTCCCAGCTGAATTAGCAGAAACCTAAATTAGTAGAAAGAAACAAGAGTCCCCACACCATGACTCATGGGTTGGCTCTTAAACCCCCCCCTTTACCCCTAAAGAACCTCAATTCTTGCAGTTCACATTCTAGCCTTTGTCTGAGACAGTATCAGAGGCCAGGAAGTATCTTTATTCTGCTTTCCTAGTGGCTGGGTTAATGGATCAATGACGGTTCATAAAGAACAAATTGCAGCAAACAAGGACTGTCATTCTGTCCTTAGCCAGCTTTGCTAGGAGAGAAAGGGAAGATGGTGGACATCTGACATTTGGTGAAGCTCTTGGTTGTATATCACAGAATGCTAACTGGAAATGAATTCCTATTGGTTTGCTTATGAGAATAGTCCAGCAGATTGAATTGGAAGATTATGGGTCCAGTAAACAAAGAGCTGTGGTAAGTATCAAGATATTTCTCTCAGCAAATGTGGCCAGTTGTGGACTATAGGGAGTCATTTCCCATCTCTCTAACAGTCCTGTGAGGTTTTTTATGACAATGGTCTCCATAGCAACCAGGTGCCCGGACAGTAAGTGGATTTTAAAGATATTAAATTGGAGCCTGGTGAGGGAAATCCTTGCTGGCTTTGGTTTCATTGGAGTCACATTAGGATAGGAGTTAGTGGGTGAGATCACTAGATTTGGGGGTTTTCTCCCAGGACTCAGTTTTAAGTCCACAGTCAGCTGAGATGGGGAGAGGAACCTGGCCTCTTCCTCCTGAGCAGTTTCTTTTATTATTTTTACTAATGATGTAGAAGAAAAAGTAAACAGTAGATTAATTAAAATTGTATGAAGTTAAATGGGGGAGGTGTTGCAAACACCAGCAAGGACAGAAATTATGTCAATGGCCCAGGAGGAATTAGAAATACAGTCAGGAAATAGCCGAGGGAAAATCGACCTGAAAAAAATGCAAGCTGGTACATGTAGCGGCAAAAAATACAAAACATTGTTATACAGAGGAAGGGGGACATTTACAAAGCAGTACTACAGAGGCCAGGAAGAATAATAAAAGAAAGGAATCTCTTAAAGCACAGTGGATGAGGGCTCTGAAGCGTGAGGCAGAGTCAGAAAAGAGCCGGTGCAGTTCTGAGCTGGCTGGACAGATGCATCAAATCACAATGAGGGAAGAGAAAGATGAGGGTCCTTCACTGTGGTACTGGGGGACTTCGAGGAGCTTGTTATGAAAAGATGTTAGAAAAAGAATGAGAAAGGAAGAGAAGAAAAGCAAAAACCAACAGCTTAAAAGATATAGTACCATCTTTTTATAACTTGGCTCATTATGAACCAATGACATGGTAAGACTGTGCCATGAACCAAATCACATTTCCTGAAAAGTAATCATAACAGCTCACATTTATTTAGTGCTTTCAGATTTTCAAAGTGCTATATGTATGTTATTATACATACATATTACATTATATATGTAATACTTATATATTGTCATTTGTTTCTACAATAAACTGTGAGGTGGGTGCTACTACTATCAACACTTTACAGCTGAGGAAACTGAGGGGCAAAGCAGTTAAAGGGACTTGCTTAGGGTCACACAACTAGTAAATATTTAAGGAAGGATTTGAACCCAGTTTTTTGGACTCTGTCTTATTTTATCTCCTATACCACATGGCCTCTCGTATGAAAACAATATAAAGCAAAATCCAGAAAAAACAGGGTTAATTCCTTAAAGGGGAGGGAGCTGTTCCCTCCCACCTTTTCCCTTTACCCCAATCCAGGACTAGAAAGAGGTTCCTTTTTATTTGAAGTGATGATATCCATATGCTAAATGAGTAAGGAGGGCATGCAATACACAGCCAGCACTGGGAAAGGAGGAATAACAGAATAAGGAGTGAGCTGATGAAATACAACAAAGGAAAATGCAGTTTGAACCATTGGAGAAGTCTCCCTGGGTGACATCTAAATGGTCTACAAATGGACTTTGAGTGGGAACTCCCATTGCTCCCATAATGTGAAACAGGACTGGACTAGTGTGCGGAGCACACTGTAGGGAAGGAAGCATGCAGGATGTGTGGGTAGTGGGTGGGAGGTTGGGGGAGGGCGAGGGGAGACAGGGAGGTGGGAGGGTGGGGCAGGGACGGGGAATGCAGGCGAGATGACCTAATACTGCATTCTCTCCTTAATCATTCTATGAACTCACTCTTTATGGATTCGAGTTTTAAATATGTGGTTTGTTTTTCTTGCAGAATGTTTGGATCCCTCCAAGCAAGGAGTGCTGGTAAAGAAACCTTCCTTCCCCCCAGAGAAAAGCCAGGGGTTAAATCTGCAAACTGGCAGTGTCTGGAGAAACAATAAAAGGAAACCGCATTCTCCATGAATGAGGGGAGAGAAGCGGGGCGGAAGGCATTTTTTTTCCCCTTTAACATGAATAAGGTCTTCAATATGTTTGAAATTATTTAACAAATTCTTTGAAAAGGAGTTTGGGTTACTAACAGACAGACCATGCATGAAGAAAATGCACCCCCCTAGCTTCCCTCTCTGCCTCAACCCCAGAGATGGAAGGCAGGGAGTTTTGGGGGGTCTTTGTTTAGTTATCCATTAACGATTCATAAAATTCCAGATCCCTGCGCAATAAGTACAGTCCTCTGAATGTTATTAGAAAATCCTATTTCTAGTCTGTTATGAAACAGAAGTTTTGATGTGCAGCCAGATTTATGTGGAACTCTGGAAACGGAACACTTGGTGCTCTGTAAAGCCTGAGACCAAGCGGGTGTTACATAAAAAGCTTTCCTATTAACTCAGGTTTATCACAAAATGAGAGGCAACCGTAGGGGAAAAAAACCAAACGAGTTAATGCAAAAACAGGAGCCAATCCACTATTCCCATTTGCTCCGAAGTGACAAATATGGAGGACTGATTTTAACCCATGATAAGAAGGAAGACGGGATGACAAGCATTTCTGTCCCTTGGTTTTTCTGCTGGTATGATCCATTCCCTAGGAGGATGAATGGCGTGGTTGTGAAATTGCCTGACTCGATAACCCAGACATAATGGAAGACAAAACAACTGATTTTTTTTTTTGGTCCCTGCACTAATTGCTTAATGAAATGCACACAAACGCATCTTCTTTCCTCTTCTTCAGGCCTCTCCCAGTTATTCTGGGTACTGCAATGATAAAGGAAAGTAAGGTCACATCATCAAATCTCTGCCAAGGGAAACACATCTAATGGCGAGACGGCATGTCTGAAGCAAATGGATAAAAATCTCATTTCCAAGCTATTGGATCCAAAATTATGCAGATTAAAATCAAATCCTTTTTGGTTGTTGTTGTTGGGTTTTTGTGGGGTTTCTTAAAGGCATATATCCAGTGATTTTTTTTAATTCCTAAAGCTGGGGGATTTAAATCCTAGGAAAGGAAGGAACCTCACAAAATTTTGAAGCTACCATTAAGAATGAGTAGTCTACTGTAATTTTTTTAAAATGGCTGTTCAGATCAAAGAAAGCCATAGAGAGCAAAAGAAAAAGGTTTTCCCTGGCAGGTACTTGATGGGATTTTTGAGCAAAGAGGGTGAGAGGTGTGAAGAGGAATATGGGAGGAAGGCCTGGAAGGCTGAAAGGAGTAAGACCTTTGGAGAGAAGAGGAAATTCCCCTGATGAAAGGTCCCTGATATCCCTGGTGACTCAAATCTTCCACATAACAATCCCATTCATTGTACCTACTTCAGGCCTTAGCTCTGTGCCCATTAATTTGACTCCCAAAGGAAAGGGCACAATTTAATTTGGGAGGGAAAAGGACTTTTTTTTTTAACACCCTGCTATTTCAATTGTTGCCATACTTTCCTTACACAAAGGTCAGCCCCTGATTCAGAGATCTGAGGAAGATGGAGTTGACCGTGACAGTTTCTTGAGGTATTCACAGATAGCTATGCTCTGCTGAACTGGTGTTCAGGAAGGGAAGGCAGGGGTGTGGAGGGTGGGGGTTGATGGTGGCAAGTTCCCTATTTGCACTCAAAAAACAATGGATTCTGGTTGGCTTCTGGGTCAGGGTCAGAATGTGCGATCCTGCATTGTCATGGTAGGCAAGCAAAAATCATGTAAAAATCTGGAAAAGTGACTTGTACTGAGCTACCTTATTTCTAATCTAATTAAAACCGAAACAAAAATAAAAAGGAGGTGGGGAGGGTGGTGCAACCAACCAAGAGCAGGGGAGTGTGGTCTGAGTCACTCTTAAGTAAATCTTATTACACCTATTTAATAAAAGAAGGGGAAAAATCCCCTGCAGAACATCTCACACGAGAATCCTCTTCTGCCCCACAGGCAGGTGGAAGGATGCTGTCTGCAGAAGGACCCTGTGTGCTAGAGAGCATCTGGCCACTCTGCTTCAGCCAGCATGGTCATAATGAGCCAATTTCAATTGAAATGAGATCAATACTATTCATTTTTCCTCTAGCTGGTTCCCAAGTGATTCATGAATTTGAAAACTAGTTCATGAATCAGAGCAGGGTGGGGTGGTGAGGACTGGAGGCGAGGGCTGGGGAATATGTGTGTGCAGTTGCAAACCTGGATTTCTTTTCATCAACATAGCCATTTAGTTGCATAACGCTGGGGTTGATTGCTAGTTGAGACCAGTCTTTTAGGAAGTACAAGCATTTGTTCAACCCAGGGCTTCTTTGACTAGGACCTTTCTAGAGGGGGAAAGAGTGATACCATATATGGGACTAGGCTTGGAGATCTGGCCTCCATTCCTTAGCCCCTTGATGTTTGCACAATTGTATGCACTTCTGTGAATGCATGGGCATGTGTGCAAGCATGCATGCATGCATGTATGCACGTGCGTGCAAGTGTTCATATTTCTGGGTTTCTCTAGGATGTGCCTGTTGTATGTGTGACACACACAAGATGTGGAACTGGCCATGGGCCCTTTAAATCTGAGCTGGGGCCAAGCCCATTTCTCTGTGGAGCTTCGTAAGGGAGCACATGATGAGGGCAGTTGGAAACCACAGCCCTGTAAGTGCTGATTACAACCTACTAAGGAAAATGAGATTTTTATCTCGCAGGAATTCAGTTATAAAAATAAAATACAGCGTCTGGCTTGATTCAGCTAAACGTACTTGCACCAGGGTGTTTTTAATTTAACTGAGAAGCCGGGCAAGAAGAATGACCTAAAATACTGCGTGGAAAGAAAGCAGGGGGAGGTGGGGAGGGAAGGGAGGAAGGAAGGAGAGAGGTTATGAGAGAGAGAGAAGGAGGGAGGGATGGAGGGAGGGAGCTGAAAAGAGGGAGAGAGAGGGGGGGGAAAAATCACCCTCCTGGCAAATGAATGCAGCAGGGATGATGTCATTGGAACAGTTGGGGGAGAAAAGAGAAAAACAACTCTGCTGTACTAATCCTGTTTGCTGCCCTAAAGGGAATGGAAGACAGCCAAGGCAGGGAGTTCTGGGAAACCATATAAGGGTGCCAAACAAGCTTTGCCGCCAACATTAGGAACTGACATCTTTGTTCTTTGTAACTTGGCTGCCTGCCAGAGGCCTCATTTCAGCTCTGCGGCATGATTACACTGGACATCTGCCAGCTGAGCTCTGTGAGAGCTCCTTTTCTTCTCTCCAAGCTTTTTTTTTTTCCCCTCCTCTTTCCTTTTGCCAAACATGCAGCAGTTACCATGGCAGTGGAAAGTAAAGTTAAAAAAAAAAACTCAACAAAGCAGAGAGGCACGCCTTTATCCAGATGCTCCACATGTGCAGATATAAAAAGCAGCTAACCTATTAATCAGGCATTTCATAAAGAGAGAGAGAGAGAGAGAGAGAGAGAGAGAGAGAGAGAGAAACTCAAGTAATAGCAGTAAAGCTGGAAAAGGTGACCCAAGGATAAACAATAAGCATCCGCAGCAAAAATGGCCCAGTATACCAGGAAAAAGAGAGAGAGAGAGAGAGAGAGAGAGAAGAGAAAAGGACTTCCTCCTCCAGTTTATTTTCTTTCCTTCTTTTTAAGACATCGTGGGGTGCTGAATGTGAAATGGGAAATGCCCTGATCTCCACTGGACACATGTCCCCTGTGTCTAAAAAGCTTCAGAAACCCACATTCATAAAGCATTAAAGGGAGCAGTGATGGGGGCAGGCAGAGAGAGGGAGAAAGGGAGGGTGGCTCAGTTGAACTCTGTTGGCCCAGGTGAAAGATGCCTGCTGACAAGATCCAACCGACTGGGGAAAAAGGAAGGGCTTTTTTTTCTTTCTTTTTTTTTTTTTTGGCCTTAGGACTCTGTGTAGCCAAAAGATAATATTGCAAGTTACACGCTTGTACTGTACAATTAGCCACTATTTAGGATGCTTGCTTGGAGGCCGAGGGGGGCTTCCTATTAATTTGTGGACACTGTGGGAGTTTGATGGGCAGCTGGATTCCTCTAACAGGAGTGGTGTGGCTAGACTGACCTTTCAGGTCTCTTTTATTCCCCCCACCCCCCAAATTCAAGATGCATAGAGTAGTTTCACTTTACAAGGAGACTATATATGAAAAGTTCATTGCCCAGTGATTTAGAGTTGAGCCTACTATTTTTAATCGGGTTCGTTTTTCACCTGCCTGAAAAGTGGAACATCTCTTGGGAGATGACAAGCTGTGATCAAAGGAAGGTCTCTAAGCAGATAGAGTTGGCTGGTTTCCGAGGGGAAGGTTACTGAGAAGTAAGGATTAGGTTGCCAGCTTTTCCCCCCACTGCAAAATCTGACACCCCTCAGCAAGATTCTCAGAGGGGCCAACCCTGAAATTCAGAAGTAGCTCCAATGGGAGTTGTTGACAGATTTGTTGCCCCTTTCCTGGCCCTGAGAGGGGAGGGCAGATGCAATGAGGTCTGTGGCAGCCTCTCTGGAAAAAAGCCTGGCTCATTGTTATCTTTAGAATGGCCACACCTCGAACTCAGATGGAGACCTACTTTTGTTTCTCCTGAGTAGGCACCATTTTATCTCTTTTCCAGGGAGAGAAACTAAGGAAGAGGCCTACCTGCTTCATCAGAGCAGTGCCTAAGGCCATGGTGAATCAGGAGGTAACCCTCAAAATCCTGAATCATTGTCCTTCCCATCCCCCTCCTTATTTCAGAAGAATACTCATTTTTTTTTTTCCCAGAAAGTGTTACCAGTCAGGGACTGGGCTCTTGAGCAAGTTATGTCAAACTCATTCTCATAGAATTAATTAGAGGTGGTTTGACTACAGCACTGAGTGAAACTATCCACTAAGACAAGAGTTCTTACCCTGAGAGGTCTGGGGGAGGGTGGTGTGTTGATAGATTTCAGAGGGTCAGGGAAAAAAGAACCCGCTACATCATTATTTTCACTAACTTCTAATTAAAATTGAGCATTTCCTTCCATTGTGAAGGTAAGCAACAAACCTTGTTCTGAGAGAGATGTCCACAGACTTTACCAGACTGACTGCCAAAGGCATCCATAACATAGAAAAAAGATGAAGAAGCCCTGTACCAAGGGGTGCAGGAGCTCTAGTCTTAGTTAATTATTATCTGCAACCTGAATCTACTGTCCTTAGGGTCTGAGGACAGGGGCTGCCTAGACATAGTAGGTGATTGTATCTCTTTGACCTATGCCAGAGAAATCTAGTTATAGCTGCTTCTACTCTTGGGTCTTTCAGGGTGATATTACTAGCAGAGAGGTAGCCATTGGGAGTTAGGACAGAGAAGTGCACCTAGGAGTCGTGATATTCATGACAGGCCCCCATGATCCAGAAACAGCAGCCTCTCCAGTAACCTTGGCGATGTATGGGGGCTCATGAAAGGTTGGTGGTAAGAAGGATGGAGAAGGAAGATCTTTCACACAATTTTGCTTAGATGAGAAGGAGGTAGAATTTAAATTTACATCCCTTGACTAAACTGTTCAGAAGAAAAGGGGTGGCAAGTCCCAGTGGAAAGAAGAACGGATTGAATTGGAGCCAGAGGATCAGGTTCTAGCACTTACGACCTATATGACCTTGGGAAAATCATTTCACAATTCTGGGCTTTCAGTTTTCTCACCTGTAAAATGATGGATTTGAAATAGATGGTCTCTGAGATGCCTTTCAACTCTAAATCTATGCTCCTGTGATCAACTTATTTTTTTTTAAGAAAAGAAACAATCATAGCTAATAATTGCTAACATTTATATAGTGCTTTAAGGTATATATATATATATATATAACATATATATTCTCACTTAATGTTTACAATAACCATGTAAGGTAGCTTCTCTGATTACTCCCATTTTATAGATGAGAAAACTGAGGCTGAATGAGGTTAAGTGACTTGACTACAGCAGCAACCACTAGTAAGTGTCTG